ACGGACGGACGGACAGACAGACATCCGGATTTCAACTCTACTCGTCACCCTGATCACTTTGGTATATATAACCCTACATCTGACTCTTTTAGTTTTAGGACTTACAAATAACCGTTATGTGAACAAAACTATAATACTCTCTTTAGCAACTTTGTTGCGAGAGTATAATAAAAATAGGCAATAATGAAGTGGCCAAGTGAATCCAATTTAAAGTTATTTCATAAAATATATTTTATAATTAAATGATTCTAATCTTCATATAATTTCATACAGGATTATTAATGGGCTTGAAAACTTCCCATGCGGATCTAACAATTGCGAAGTTTATACTTTTTTATGGGTAAGTTTTTATACTATCGCATCATGTTGCATAAAGAAAAAAATTATTATGTTCTCACTAAATGTTTAATACTTCCACTAGCCCCATATATGTACATACCYAATATAATAATTTTCAATCTTTTGGTTGGACTCATACCCATATGTATATCGGTCAATATGTTATCTTAGCAAAATTAAGTGTTTTATAATGTTAAGTATGTGATGGCGAAAATGGGTGAAATTTGTCCGTGAATGCCGAATGTATTGGTAAAATTATATGTTATGCTGATCCAGACGTGTGATATTTTACTGAAATTAAGTGGATATATTTCATTAAGCACAATATGGTTTAGCGTTTAGAATGAATCAAATTAGTCTATACTTTGATCTGGCAGCCTTCCGCCAATATAATGATATTGACTTGCATAGTAAATTTTCTATTAACTTAATTGAAAGATGGTTTTGGGGAAACATTTATTTTTGGTTCTAAAACTGTTTTTAAGCGGAGCAATATTCATTTAATACAGTGACATCATTGTATTTGTATTTATATTATACCATTATCTGTGGGCCGAAATTCTCTAATAGGTTCAATTCACATATCTTCTAGACTACTACAGCTGCAATGACCAAATTCAGTTAGGATAATTCTTATAAGAACTATTATGAACAGTGTGAAAATGGATCAAACTCCGCCCATTCTCCATATAACAGTACTGTTAAAAACTAGTCAAAGCGCGATTAATTATTAACTAAATACACCAGACACATTTTATTTTACCCCCGAAATAATTTGAGAGGGCTTTAAAGAAGCCGGTGTATAAATTGAACGACGGGCTTGCTCGACCGATTTCAACAAAATTTGGTATATAACATCTTGTAGTTGTCTTTTTACCGCAAATATCAGTCAATGTGTGAGATACATAATTGAAATTCAGGCATAAAGTTTTTCTGACAATGGTATGTCTGTGTATCAAAAGTGGTTGGTGATTTTATACCGCATATAACTTCCAATTGGCGAATTATCTCCATACAAATGAGAGAGCGTGTTTTACTGATAACAATGTGTCTTTGTGCTTAATAATTGATAAACTTGGGCGAAAACCTGACCTAGCCCCCATAGAACAAACACATAACATCTGAGTGTCTTTACTCTATAGATTGGTGATGGTACTTAATGAACCTAAGAGAACATTTTATTAGTATGTGACATATATAGTATGACAAAAGTATATTTCTAATATACTATATAGCTACAATGATTTTCGTTTTTCTAACAAACCAAACAAATTGAATATGTCGRTCAGTGTATGAGTTATATAAATACATATTCTTTAACTCGAAGTTCTCGATAACTTGAACTCTTAAATAGTAGTCAAATTTCATACAAATACTTCCATAACTCGAAGTTTCTCTAACTCGAAATTTTTATGGATTATGGTGATTTSAGTTCAGAAATTCAACTGTACATATACATATATATTTGCTTGGACTCCTATTCTCTGGTTGATGTTTGCACCTTAAGGTATTTTTTTGGTTTTGATTCTTGCAAGTTACCAGAGAATAAAATATTCGATTGCATCCGAATTTAGCTTTACCTTACTTCTTTTTATCTAGATTCGTTTTGATTAAATAGGTTTTGACACGATAATAGATAAATTCATCTATTAAGTTAAAAGAATTTTGAAAGCTGTTAGCATAATTGATAAKATTTAATATTTAATTAACGCAATATGTAGTTAGATCAACTTTATTTTATCAATAATAATAAACATTTTAATTCAGCACTATTCGGCGTACAATATTCTTGTATCTGGAAACTGATTTCTGTCGCCAATATAATTTGATTACTGAGCCGGTTACGATCCAAGTTATTACCAACTTGCCAATTAAATAATTTTTTACGTGGTCTATTGCCTGGCGTTTAACATATTGCGTATTTGGTAGCCGTTCTATTTTATCGTTTTCAAATGAAGCAATTGTTCTGAAAATATTTATGTTGATTTTTTAATTGTAGCCGCAGTATGGTCAATAAAAACTCGCCATAAGAAATATAGTTTGAAACATCAATTTATCTCATCGGCGAACGTATAGTGAGTAATGACCAAAAATTAATTTCATTCTCGGCATTTTACTCAAAATAATATTATTTTTTGTATTAAAAACACATAATTATGTTTTTAAATTTATATATTTTTTAGTAATGAATTGTTTTAACTTTTAATCAAATTGAATTACAAATTATCCTATCTTTTAAATTGGAGCAGCTTGGACAAAGTGTGCTAAATTTTACAGAAATCGTTTCAGTAGTTTAGGAGTTTACCCCAGACAATTAATATGACTCGTAATTTTTATACATATATACTATGTATACAAATATAAATAATTTAACAATTAATAAGAAAATAAAAATTGGAATTGAAATTTGAATTATAGATGAGGTTATTTGAAATATTGAAACTGTCTTGTATTATTAATATATAAAACAATTTATGATAAATAYAAACTATTACGAAAAGAAAATATTTGATTTAAAAAAGTTAGTGCTTTTTGAGTTGAAAAACACCTTATTTATCCAAGTGAAGCCTTCATCGATGTTATCTAAAAATGCTATTGAGTTCTCATAGAACTCTCATAAACGCATTCAGGATTTCTGACTCTTCTTCAGTATGTACAGATGTTATTACCATAATTTTTCCTAACAACTATTTCAGCATCATATGATAACAATTATGGTAATAACATCTGTACATATATTCATGCAAAATATAGTCAATTTATCTTAGAGCTGTTGGAGTATTGAAATATTTCGAATCGTATATTTGTGAAATATTGTGTGATCACTTWATTTTCAAAAATTAATTATTGTTAATTATTATTAATTTTTGTATTATTAATTTTTGTATTCCTTCATCATTTGAACACTTTTTTCTTACCACATGCATTAAAGCATTAAGGGGGTATTCTAGTCTAGAATTTTGAAAAAATCGATCAACTGGACCTTTAAGAATATTTTCCCCAAAGGAATTTTTAAAATTCCTATTATTTACCGACTTATAGCTATTTTAGTGACGCAGCGTGCAAACCGGCTCTGCAGGAATGGCCATTAACGAAATGTAAGTACAGACTGCCTGCAGTTAGACTCAAATCTATAATCGCGTTTTTCTCGAAACTACTATTTTCAACACTTCTGACATGATTTCGCAAGTTGGTGAAATGTGAAATTTGGTGTGGACCTTCTTTATATGTCTCTCTATGGTTGGAACTAGGATTATTAAAAAATGTGCATGTGCACTTAAAAACAACCCCATACCATGTAGCATAAACAATGTGCTACATACATATGAACATGCACACATACACATATATTTAGATAGTTCTTAAAATTAAAATAAATAAGTGAAAATTTTAAATAAAATCAGACAAAAATAGTTCTTGTAGAACTATACACTTCTCGTAGAATGAAATAGTTCTCAGCTTAAAAAAAAGCTTTATTTTCCCCTCACCGGTGGTAAGGATATCAAGCATTTYATTTAAATTTAAAAGTTTGATCTTACAAATCAAACAGTTTGATTATAATTCAAACAGTCGCCATTTATTGAGAAATTTTTTTTTTTTTTATTTATCCTAGTTCAAACGATAGCGGCATTTGAAGGGCGCACCCTTATTTTCACCCCCGCCACGCCACCACGCCGCAATTAATCAAATTATCAAAAATAATTTTTTTTTTATTCTTAAAATATCAATAAATATCTCATAAAAAATTAGATAGTAAAAATGTTCTTAGTTTTTTTTTATTGGATTTTAAAAAATGCCGTTAAATAGCATTTCTAGACTAGAATACCCCCTTAATGGAAGAAACAGGGTTYAAAATTGTGGCATTATGGTCATATTTAACGTTGCTAAATATTACATTTGAAGTGCAAGAAAACTTTGGTAGTCTCGAACATTACCGCTATATGAAAAGTAGAAGGCTACTGCATGTGCTTACAGACCAACGAATAATCGAATAAAYGAAATTCAATTCTTTTCATCGCTTTGATATGATATATCCATTTCGACGTAATTGAAAACTGCAACATTAACAACATTTTCAAAAATTATATTACAGGCCAACCTTTGCCGACAGCAACATTTTTAATATAGATGACTACAAATCAATGCTAGAAGATTCTAACTTCTCTAAAACAAAGAATACAGTACTATATATACATGGCTATCTTGAGGACGCGGACATTGAGAGTGTACATGTGATTGTGGATGCGTATCTCCAACGAAACGATGTCAATCTAATTGTATTGGATTGGGGAGAATTAGCCAATGGCAATTATATGTTTGACGCTGTAGTCAATTGTAAGCAGGTAATTGATTTGATTAAAGCAACCAGAGTGTTATTAAAACACAATTAATCCAAAACGAATTAAAGCTTGCGTCCGTTTTGGCGAGAAACTTAATTGCCATGTTTGAGATGGGCTTGGACATAGACAAATTCCATATAGTTGGACATTCACTAGGCGGACAAATGGCTGGCATAATTGGACGAGAAGTGTACAGGCGTAACGGCAAAACGAAAAAACTTCCCAGGTATTGACCGAAGTATTACTTTTATGTAAAATTATTCAAGTATTTTAGAAAAATGTAATATACTTTTATGTGAAAGTATTTTAAACATTTTTAATGTTGAGCAATAATTAATTTTTTGTGAATTGTGAATTAATTTAATTCAGACCAAAATATATGAAGGTAGAAAAACAATGAAAAATCGAAAACTAAACGGTTTTGACAAAAATATTTTTTATTGCAAATTTGTATTAGTATTTTTTTAAAAAATATTTTATTTCTAAAAGTATCGGAGTTGACAGCTCTTGCATTATTACCTAATTACAACGTTGACGATGCCGTAATGAAAACATTTATCAGCGTTTAAAACATCAGCTGAAATTTGCCAGTAAAATACTAATGTCCAACACTAGAAGGATTAAAATATAAAGTATACTTTAGACGTAGCAATTGTAAAATCTCCCATGTATTGTAGTGTATAGTATAACTTGTTCATACATTTTTTCAAAGGCTTTCAGCATTAGATCCTGCATTTCCTTTATTTTATGGAACGTTCTCATATCATTTGAGTAAACATGATGCCGAATTTGTTGATGTAATCCATACTGACGCCTGGATATACGGGGCTCCAGTAAGTACTGGGACCGCAGATTTTTGGCCCAATGGTGGTACGACATTACAACCCGGCTGCCCGAAAAGAAATTATAAGCTTCTTTCAGATAACGGTGGGTTATGTTACGTTTCATATAAGATTATTATATAATTATGTATTTATAACATAAATGTCCCTGAGTGACTATACCGTAGTTAGGAAAGAAGCTTGAGAGATAATTTGAACATTTCACGAAATACAAAAACAAGCCTTTTGAAAAAAAAATTTCAAGTTGCAAAGACAAAAATCGATTTAGTTCAAAAATTAAATTAAGACATTCCGCTTGTCAATTTTTAACGTAAACAATTTTTTTTTATTCATGTTAATGTTTTATTATTGTCATTGAAACGTAAAATATATTTCTTTGAAATATTAAAATCCCTTAACTTAAGTAACTTCTCAATCTCCTATTTGTCTGGAACATCATTAATTAATTCGACTTACCGCTTTTTCTAGATTTATCTAGTCATCGCCGATCTTGGTGGTTTTGGGCCGAAAGCGTTAAGAAGGAATTCCCGTGCCATTTTTATGCTGTTAAGGCAAAGAACTGGGGCGATTTTAAAAATGGCAAATACGTCGATAATGAGGAGCAGCGTGTTGTCATGGGTCATGACTGCCCCACGAAGTACATATTTTCTTACAACAATATGCAACGTTTTTTTATTTATCTATCCTCTTTACATTTTTAAGCATTACTGGAGACTACTATTTACAAACTAATGGCATACAACCGTATGCAAGAGATATGGCTGGTATAACCTATGTTCATCCTGCAAAACTAGTTGGAAACAGTACCACGGAGAGTGATGACGTTGAGCCGTCGAAAACATAATACTTAAATCTTTTGCTAGTATTAGTATATACATATATGTCCAACAATTCTCATTTTTATAAAATCGTGTAAATATTTTAATGTTTATCATTTAATAACTTATATGTATGTATGTTATCTTTACGCGAGTTTTGGCATAACTTTTATATACATAAATCTAACTGTGTCCGATTTAAAAAAATCTGAAAATTAAAAATTTTAATTATTTTTAGTCGACTATGTTTGCGGTGGTCCGCCTTCAAATCTAAATATACTAAAACAAGTAAGAATGTAAACTTCGGTTGCAACGATGCTACAGTACCCTTTAYAAATAAAAAATTTCCATACAAGAACTTGATTTAGATCTGAATTTTGTACAGCTTCTGGGAAAGGTAAGGATGCGTACAATATATCAGATCAACTTCTCAGAAACTATTGGACTAGTTACGAAAATTGATAAATGAAAAATCAACACAATGGGGTTTTTATGTTTCTTCAAGAATACAATAACTTAACATTACTAAGGATTTATCAAATCCCGCCGATATAGAAAGCATATCAAAGAATGTTGTAATAAATGTTTCTGAGTAAATACCCAGGAAGTCACAGCTACTAAAACTTCAATACCAAAAAATTAAAATTTAATATTTATGCCAAGATATTTGGGCTTAAAAATTGCAAGTTGTATTCAATTGAAAATTTTATTTTTTATATTTTTAATTACATAATGTTTGGATTTCATTTAATTGTTTAATTAGGTAGTTGGAATTAAAAATTAAAATCTGGTTCGTGGTTTTAAATTTTTTTTTAATGTTGAATCCAGTTTGCGGACTCAAATTTTTTTATTTGTACGTGGTAATATTTTTTTACACCGTATTTGGGATTATAAAATTAAAATTAAATAAATAAAAAATTGAATGGAAATGTTATATCAATTTGTTGATGAGTTATTTGCAATCTTGTTTGCAGGGTATATTAATCGGATAGGCATTACACAATTTTATCGAAATATGATTGAGACTGAAGAAAAATTTTTATGTACATGTATTTCTTTATCAATAATATCTCATAATTCGTAGGACTCAGCAAATTAATTCRACTGATTTGGTTTCATCTTTAAATGTGTGATATTATAATCGTAATTCAAGAGAAATGTAAAAATCAAATACGAATAAAAATATGCATATATCGATTGTCAGGTAAGAAAAAAAAATTACATCRTTAAAGCTATCGATATTCTTTTGGTTATTGGACGAATCGGTTTTATTTGGCATTTCATCATTTACTACTAGTTGTTTACGTTTTAAAATAATATAAAAGTACGCCAAAATGAAAATGAAACTTATTGATTCCGTTGTGAAAAGTTTCAAAGTGGCAAAAGTTTTCCGTGAAAATACCGACAAAATTAACGCAATAGATTTTTCGCCTAATGGAGAGCATTTGATTTCATGCAGCGAGGATGATCAAATTGTAATATACGATTGTGAGAAAGGAATACAATCTCGAACAGTTAACTCCAAAAAATATGGCGTCGATCTTATAAGGTTTACACACGCTAACAATACTGCAATACATAGTTCAACGAAAGTAGATGACAACATTCGTTATCTTAGCCTCCATGACAATAAGTATTTGCGTTACTTCCCTGGACATACTAAGAAAGTAATTTCACTATGTATTTCGCCGGTGGAAGACACCTTTCTCTCAGGATCATTGGATAAAACATTGCGATTATGGGATTTGCGCTCACCTAACTGTCAAGGTTTGATGAATTTACCTGGTCGCCCCGTTGCAGCATACGATCCAGAGGGATTAATATTTGCTGCTGGTGTCAATTCTGAAAGCATCAAACTGTATGACTTGCGTTCATTTGATAAAGGTCCTTTCGTAACTTTTAAGTTATATCAAGAGAAAGAGTGTGACTGGACTGGTTTGAAATTCTCAAGGGATGGCAAGATAATTCTTATCAGTACAAATGGATCCATTATACGTTTAGTAGATGCCTTTCATGGCACGCCATTACAAACCTTTACTGGTTATCCCAACAACAAGGGTATTCCCATAGAAGCGAGTTTCAGCCCGGATTCTCAATTTATTTTTTCTGGAAGCACAGATGGACGAGTTCATATATGGAATGCTGATACGGGCTGCAAAGTGTGTGTTTTAAATGGGGACCACCCCGGACCAGTACAATGCGTACAATTTAACCCCAAATACATGATGCTTGCATCGGCATGTACGAATATGGCTTTTTGGCTACCAACTGCCGAAGATGACCAATAAGATATAACCAAAATAAATAAATGGTCTTATATACTACTATTACTTGAACTTGAGCTCTTAGTTTTATTTACTACGTATGACTGAATGAATAACAATAAACGTTGATTTATAACAAACTATTTTCTTATTTGTATAATTCATAATACTCGCGCATAACCCTTAACAATTCCGACAGATTTGTACCAGTTTTAGCACTAATAGGTATTACCTTTACTTTCAGTTCATTTTGAAGATCTTGAAAATTATTTTTAGCTTCGGGAATATCCATTTTGTTCGCTACAATTATTTTTGGCCGTTCTGATAAATTTTTACTGAATTTTCTTAACTCATGTATAAGTTGTTCGTATTGGAGGAAAGGGTTATCTAAACTAGCATCCAAAACAATAAGTAACACTTTGCATCGCTCTGCATGCTTAAGGAACTGTATTCCGAGTCCTTTATTCAAATGTGAATCACGTATTAAGCCTGGTAAGTCGGCAATTGCCAATTGAGTAAAGTCATCATATTGTACCATTCCAACATAGGGTCGGAGCGTTGTAAAAGCGTATGGAGCAACCTTCGGCTTCGCTCGTGTTATGGCATTCAGCAAAGTACTCTTACCTGCGTTTGGTTGACCAATAAATCCTATATCAGCCATAGTTCTTAATTCTAAAATGTATGAAATATCTTCACCCTCAGGGCCATACTCTGAAATTTTTGGACTTTTTTGAACTGAAGTGGCAAAGAATTTGTTTCCTTTACCGCCAACACCACCACGAGCAGCTACAAACATTATATTAACTACATTTAAATCACCCACTATTTGGCCCCCTCTATTCCGTACAACTGTCCCCACGGGAACTTTCACAATTGTGTGCTGAGCATTCTTTCCGTGACAATGCTCACCTCGACCATTTTCTCCGGATAATCCTCTGATTTTACTTAGGACATGATTAAAGTTACGCACTTCGGTCGAAGTTTGAAAAATTACATGACCTCCATTTCCCCCATCACCACCGTCAGGACCGGCTCTTTCATTACACCACAGTTGTAAAAACGAAATGCAGCCATCGCCTCCTTTTCCCCCGATAACTTGTACTTGTTTGGAATCCACGAAATAAATTGGCTATTATAATTATCAAATTTTATTTAGAAGAACATATATATTTATTTAAACCAACCTCTTTTCTATTAGATTTCGGTTTTGTCGAACGCAACGCTTGTGGTACGGAATGTGTCTCTCTTCGCAATACAATTAAAGATATTTTTCGAAAATACAGCAAACTTCGGGCAGCAAACATTTTTGTTTTTAAACAACAATTGTTGCTATGTGTGCAACACCCATGTGTTATTCTGACTTGACATTCTTACCATAATCGAAACTTTGTTATCGGCTATTATGAGTGTGGGATTTCTTGGAGCGAGCATTTGTAAACATTTCTTTTCGCGAAGAAGTTTAAACATGGTCATAAAAGCAACTCTAATTGATTTAAGTGGCACTTTGCATATAGAAAATGAGCCGACTGCGGATGCTGTAAACGCATTAAAAAGGTTTTTACATAACAAATAAGCACGTAAAGATACATATACATACTATATAAACTGTAACAACTTAATTATATACAACAGGTTGCGCGATACGGATATTCAGATAAAATTTGTAACTAATACTACAAAGGAATCTAGAAAAACCCTTCATGAGCGTTTACGAAAAATGGGATTTGAATTGGAAGCACATGAAATTTTTAGTTCATTAAGTGCTGCTGTGAATTATGTTGAGAAGGAGAAACTTAACCCACTGTACTTGCTAACTGAAGACGCGAAATCAGACTTTCGTGCCTCAGATCCAAATCTTGAACTGGATTCAGTAGTAGTTGGATTAGCACCAAGTGAATTCTACTATGAAAATTTGAATAAAGCTTTTAAGTAAGTTATGCTAATAATAATACAATACATTGTTTAGTTGTCATAATATTTATCTGCAGTTTACTTATGACCAACAAGAATAATCGACTTGTAGCCATACACCAAGGTAAATACTACAAAAGAGCCGATGGTCTAGCCTTAGGTCCAGGAGCGTTTGTTAAAGGGCTGGAATACGCAGCGGCAGTAAATTCTGTACTAATAGGAAAACCCAATGAATATTTTTTTAAAAGTGCCATCCCTGAAGGTATATGTCCGGAAGAATGTGTTATGATAGGAGATGTTAGTCCCAAATTTATTCCATGAATATACAATATTACAGCTTATCGTATTTTTCACAGGATCCGATTGACGACATTGCTGGTGCAATGAAGATAGGGCTCAAAGGAATTCAAGTGAAAACAGGAAAATATTTACCAAGCATTACAGTTCCGGAGCAACCAACAGTCATAGTAGAGAACTTTTCAAAAGCAGTGGACTGGATAATAAAGACTAATTTAAAATAAAGAAGAAATGCAAACAATCTCAAAGTAAATTTGAATTACATATAAAATGTAATTGCTAAAATTTCAGTTAAATTAGCCACTTTATAACTATGATTCAATTATTTACAGTAGTCCATGTGTCTAAAGGGGTTAAATTCAAATAGTTAAAATTAGATATTTTGCTTTGTTTTTATAATTCAATAATATATTTATGTATATTAACTTTGACAGGAAGTTTGCTAATACCCACCCAATAGGAAACATTAGAGACCCTTTGAAATATACATATATCCTTATATTATATATAAAAAGCACGTGTCACGTTGTTTGTCCTCGATGGACTCCTAAACTAATGAACCGATTTTAGTAAAATTTTACACACTGTGTCCAGTTCGAACCAACTTAGAAGATAGGATAGTAAAAACAATTCATAAATAAACAGTGAAAGCTCTATTAAATGGACTCCCTATTAAGCGGACATCTCTATTAACCATGTACATCTTTATTAAGGACAATATATTAAGCGGACAACAATATTAACTGGACAGAAAGGCTGGTAATTAGACATTGAGAAAGCAGCCTTAAATTCGTTATTTTTTCCAATGAAATTTATTTGGATGAACATATTCAAAATAAAGCCTCAAGTACAATCTCTTGGATTCTTATACGGACAAAAACGTTTTCATCTTTAGTAGTAACCAGAATTTTCACTGTATTGCATAGTTTATTATATGAATAATAGTATAAAATCTATACCACAGCAACGCGTGGCCGGATCCCCTAGTTACATATATAAATTAGTAGCGTAACGTGCCGAGTGTATTTAGCCGTGATGGTCTGTATATACGCGAACTGGTCATGTAGTTTATTTATATTATATATTGATCTGAAAATTTGCTCAACTGCAACTGATCGACCATTGATCCAAACCCGGCATTTTAATGTAAAACTTTTTTATTTGATAAGATATATTCCTTAAATTTCATGCATATATTATACAAGGCATCGCTACATTCTTCGAACAATCCTTCAGATCGCACCCATATAGCATATAGCTGACATTCAATCTGATCGATCAAAATCAAGATAAATATATTTTTTTATTACAAATGTTGCTAAAAGAACTTAAAACCACTTTCTGTTGGGTGCAAATCGTTGTCGTGTTACATTGTCCTACCGAAGGCTGCTATTTTGAAGATCTCACCCTTTTTGAATCGGAGCTGGATGATCGTGTATTTGCTTTATATCCATTTTTATAATTCGTTTACTATAATTAAATACATGAAAAACATTTCGAATGTTTGTATAAGAAAGGCATATTTTTATTAAATGCAAACGCCAAAAAATAAAATATTTTAAATAAATTATATCGAACAACTTTAGTTTCTCAAATTTTAACTGGTAACTCCTTATAGGTTGTTGACTTTATTGAGCACCAACTTTGAGTTTTGCAAATTCTGTAGCTACACGTATGACCTCATCTACATTTTCGTAATTTGTGCCAGAAGCTTGAGCAGATTCAGGTTTTCCACCTCCTTTTCCACCAATAACTTCACTCAAGTGCTGTACCCATTCGTTGGCCTTTAGCCCCTTATTCACAGCACTCTTTGGTACTGAAGCCAAACAGAATATTTTCTTTGAATCGGGGTCAACTGATAAAAATAAAGCAGCTGCGTCAGGGCATAAGGCACGAACTTGCTTCAAGGCACCATCCAGTGCTTTAGTATTGTTATAAGCCTCAAATTGCTTTACTAACAATGTGGCTTTGGGATTTTCTTGACAAATTTCCTTTGTTTTCTCAATTACTGTTACAGAAACAGCAGCCTTCACTGTTCGCTCCTTATCGTCGAGTGTCTTTTTTAATTGCTTTAGCAGATTGCGCATTTCATCTTTCTTCACATATGGTATGATAGCTTGAGAAACCTCTTCAGTCAATTCGACAATTTGTTTCACATAGTTCTTAGAGTTCTTGGCATCTTTATCATCTTCAATTGTATTTTTTAATGTTTGTATTTGTTTATGAAGTTGATCATATTTCTCTAAAGCTTTTAATGCTTCCGGACCAGTAAGTGCAACGATACGTCGAATGCCTTTAGCGATTGCTTCCTCGCTAGTAATTACAAACTCCATTATATGACCCGAACGTTGTAAATGCGTACCGCCACAAAATTCTACTGATGTTTTCTCTCCGGCATCGCTATCGAGATTATTTTCAAGTTCTTCAACATTCACCCCAAACGATATAACACGCACTGGGTCTGGATAGACTTCATCAAAAACAGAGCGTAGTCCACGGATCTTCTTTGCATTGGCCAACTTTGTTTCTTTTGCGTATATAGGTACATTTTTATAAACAATATCTCGTGTTAATAGTTCTGTCTTTGCTACCTGCTCGATCGTCATAGCAGATTTGCTACTAAAATCAAAACGCAATTTATCTGGTACAACTAATGATCCTTTCTGATCAGTCTCTTTGCCTAGAACTTGAAGCAAGCTATGATTTAAAGCATGAGTGGCGGAATGATTTTTCATGGTCAACCAACGTCGTTCAGTATCGATTTTAAGATCGATTTCGTCGCCTACAGTGAACTCTCCATCAGCTACTCCAATATGTAAAATATAACCGCCGCGGTTATAAACAGCATCAACAATGAATTTATCATCGACATTGTTAAGTTTAACAAATAGTCCCTTGTCATATATTTGACCACCACTTTCTGCATAAAAATTTGTTTGGTCTACAATGATACCTGCCTTACTACCAGCTTCTATCTTATGCACGAATTGGTTTCCAAAACGTAATGCAAGTATTTTGGACGTGCATGAAGTAAATTTGTAAGGTGAATCCAAATTTTCGGATTCAGCTTCATATTTGTATTTAAAGGAATCATTTGTGATTTGAATGGCTTTAGATTGTAACTCGGAAATGGCATGTACATCTAGGTCGATTTCATCAGCTTTGGTAGTGCTCTTTCCTTGTGACATAATGTATGCAGCTTTTTTCGCTTGTTCATACTCTTCCATATTGATTTCAAGGTTTTTTTCCTCAGCCATTAACTGAGTCAAATCAACCGGAAATCCATATGTGTCATATAACTTCCAGGCCAAATCTCCAGGAATTACTTTTTGGTTACTCAATTTAGCTACCGTACGATTGAAGAGATCTCGGCCGCGCGAGAGGGTTTTCAAAAACTGTGCTTCCTCCTCATTAATTATATCAATTATCTGTTGAGGATTTTTTCGTACCTCTGGAAACGCATCTCCGAGTAAATCTACCACAGTATGAACCAGTGACCCAAAGAAGCCGGGCTTGGCACTTAGCTTCTCAGTAGCATATCTAAATTAAAAATGGAATAAATGTTCACTCTTCGTGAAATGATCTTGTTATCATAGCATGGTCTTARCTCTTACCTTACAGCACGGCGAAGTATCCGTCTAAGTACATATCCTCTCCCGGTATTATCTGGGGTGCCACCATCGGCGAGTGCAATGGTTATTGTTCTGGCATGATCTGCCAGCACACGGTATGCCATGTCTATACCTTCTACATCTTCGGCACCCACACGACCTGCGTATTCTGGTGCACCTGTACCCTCTTGTATGGCTTTGAAGAGCGGAACGAATAAATCAGTATCGTAGTTAGATCTTTTATTTTGAATTACAGACACTAATCTCTCGAAACCCATGCCACAATCGATATGTTTTTTTGGTAGTGCTTTTAGACTACCATCGGACTCACGGTTATATTGTATAAACACCAAGTTCCAGATTTCTAAAACATCTGGATCATCTACATTTACGAGTTCGGGTACACTACGTCCACCAATTCTATCGAAATGCAATTCGGAGCAAGGTCCGCATGGTCCAGTTTCTCCCATTTCCCAAAAGTTATCTTTCATACTGCCTGGTAAAATATGCTCGGGGCATAGTCCGAGATCTAACCAAATTTGCTTGCATTCAAGATCGGGTTCAAGCCCAGAAGCTTTATCTCCACCAAAGTAGGTAACATATAAGCGGTCCTTCGGCAGTTTCATACGTTCCGTTAAGAATTCCCAAGCCCATGTGCATATTTCTTTTTTAAAATAATCTCCAAATGACCAATTTCCAAGCATTTCGAAGAATGTGTGATGGTACACATCTTTGCCTACATCATCCAAATCGTTGTGCTTACCACCGGCTCGTATACACTTTTGAGTATTTGTGGTACGAACCCATTTTACCATTTCACTATTAGGATCTGCCGTGCCCAAAAATATTGGTTTGAACTGGTTCATGCCAGCGTTGGCGAATAGTAAAGTAGGATCATCTAAAGGTATTGTACTAGACGAATGAACGTAAAGATGATCCTTTTCTTTAAAGAAGCCTAGAAAGGCCTCACGGATTTCATTTGCGGTTAAAACTTTCATTTCACAAATGTTATGTTCTGTAAAAACAATATCAACAAATAAAATTATCACTTGCGCCACGTGCTCTAAATATTGCACTTTCTAATGTGAAAGTGCATTCGTGTCACAGCACACATTCAAAATACTAATCAAGTGTTTTTTTAAATTTAGAAACATTGTTAACTAATCCACTTATCGACTTTAATAAAAAATATTTTGAAATGTGTTACTGAAATAATTCCATCATGCTCACTTTTATCACAATTTCCAATCGTATATTTATTATTGAATTTCAGCAACCCAAAGGATGACTACTTCTATCATTTGGATATAAAAACGATATTGGGTAAATCAGCTGTGATTCCTTCCTACCCATTTATTGTATACCAAAATCGATTGTAATGTAATTACAACCACGCTAACGGAGCATCTCGACAGGATAGAATTTATAGAATACTATCTGTATTGCCGTGCCTATTGCCTCTGGAGACTCCACATTGCTCATTGCTTACTATATATAGATATATATTACGGGGAATGTTTAGTATCGCCCCGGTTAAGTATCGTTTATGGAGAAAAACAGGGTCGGGCTATCCCCCCTCCCGACCCCTTATTGGAAAGAGGAAGGATCGAACTTTTTAATAAGCCCCCCCTCTACCCCCTAGATCCCCTATGGACCTGTAGGGAGGCCTTTGAAAATGACCAAAAATCAGTGTTTKTGCTCATTTTTCCATACAAACTGAAACCAATGCAACCCAGCCAACATTTTTGTATGGACAAGAAATCAAAATAAAGAAAGCCAAAATGTTTCAGTKCAATCTATATACGTATATAATTGCATCTATCCTTCGGCCGCGCTTTAAAAAAATAACCTTGGCCGGTCCAACACCGGCTACGCCATCCACAGTATTTT